AAACTTTTTGAAGATCAAAACAGATTACTTTGATCATCTTCTCTTTATTCTCTTCACTCCGGCTTAAAGTTTTGATATCTTTCCTAATTTCTCTAACAAGTATTTTGGCTTGTACATGCTCGTTATACTCTCTTGCTAAGTCAATATTATTCACCCTTTCCTCTTCTCGCAGGGCATTCCATCTGGCACAGAGAGAGCATTGATCTTTCTTGGGTTTGTAGAAACCAAGGTTGAAGGAGGTAATGAAGATGTCTTGATACTGGCGGAGGGTAGCAGTGTGTGGAGTATCTTGACCTCTTTGTGTTATGTACGTACATACGGTACATTTTAGAAATGCTCAGATTTTCTTGGAGATGCTGGCGTTTGGTGCCCTCACGGCAGTAGTGGCTTTCAGTTTTAGGGAAAGACTTAATGTGATCTTTAACCCCTTGAATTAAAGCGGGAGCAATCCTAACTCTTCTTAATACATGCTTACCCCTTTTATCAGGACTATTCTTATTCATAGCACTCTGGACTACTGTCACACTTATATCAAGCGTATGGAGAAACATTGTCTGACACACTGGAATCAAATTGTCTGCCTCATCTGGCAAACAGTATAAATGAGACATTTTCCTATGTGGGCTTAGAGCAACAACGGTTCTTCGCTGTACAGGTTTTTTCCTGACCATCTTGGATATCATAAGCCACTGAGATGGTTTGTTTCCAGAACTATAATAAGAATTAAATACTCTTTGCCGTTGTTCTCTGGTGATGCGAGCTTGGCACTCCTGGCGGCACTTTGCAGTGCATCCAGGTTTGAGGCTTCTAGCCTCACGCTCTTTCCCCCTTTTAGTAATGTGAGGTTTTCCAGTGTTGTACGCTTCCTTGATTTTAGCCGCTATGGCTTGTGATGGGTTGCGTTGCCTTTTTTTGGTTGGACTATTTACATTAGGGGCAGCCTGCCTTTTCCGTTTTTTGCCAACAGAATTATTTGAAGTGCCTAATTGTTCCCCACTATCTTGCACAGTAGATTCAGCTTCAAGGTCTACTTCGTCACCATTTGAGGTCCCCCCATTAAATGCAATAACCTCTTCTGCCTGTTGAGGAGCTTCAGTACTGGAAATAATTATATTCTCATTTTTGTCCAAAGTATTTGCTTGAGGTACTACTTCTGCATTCAGTGGCAGCATTGATGTTGGAATAGCAAAGGATTGAGTTCCAGTTTCAAGAGGAGCAGTTCCCAGATTAATATCAGTACTCTCGGCACAATCAAAAAGCCTCTTCTTGCAATTAGGACCTAGAATATAAAAATTAAATATTAGTTTAGGAACAAAATTTAGTAAGCTTCAAGGAAGGCAGTTAACTTTTATTTAACAACTCCAGTACAACAAGTATGTTTCCTGGTGTACTTAATAACTACTGTATATAAAACATAAAGAGAAATGCTTATGAAAAAAATTGTTTAAATTATTCAAAATTTAACTAGTGAAAGGTTACTTTTAAAATACACATGAAAAATAACTAAAAGAGAACTTTATCATGATTATTATTATTGATTGATTGATTGATCATTGAATGTCTAAAGGTACCCAAATATGGCCACCGCCGTTTTAAGGATTTAGAAAAATGAAATAGTCAATTGCTGGAGGAGCTAAAGAAAAATGGTATCTGCACTTCCAAAAATCTTAACTGTGAAAGAAAAGTAATGGACTTACTTGGAAGAATATTTGCTGCTACGTCACTGACTGGTGCTGTAAATAAAACAAAAGTGTTAAATTTAAGTGAAAATGTTCAGGAATGTAGAAACTAAATAATGGTTGAGTACTTACTGTACTCATTCAGGTAATTTCCCATAAATACAGAAGTGTTAGTGACTGGTTGCAGCTGAATAAGATCATTGCCTTCAAAGTCAGTGATATTATCTACTGTAAAAGAAAAATAAGTTCAAAGACATGCAAAGATTGAAAAATATAGATAAAATAGAGTGCACTGCGGTGACAGAGTTACAAAAGAGAATTCTCAAATAACTGAATCTTTAGTTTACTTAAACTTACTTATCTCAGTGGGGGTCAACTCTTGATTTGTCCCAAAAGGAAGTACCGGGGTTAATGCTTGAAGATTGTCAATGAAGTCAAACTCTGAAGCCATTGCATCTAAAAATCAAAAATTTACAAAAGAATAGTGTGATAAAGTAAATGTTACTAAAACAACCACTGACATTACTACTTACTCGTGAGGTTTCTATGATCATCAATCCAGCTTTTAGTCCTGATCAATTTCTCTTTAAACTCGGGTGCTAAGATGCCTGACTCTGATGGTGAAAACTCAGATATAGTATCACTAACTGTAAAACAATAAAGGGAAAAGAATAAACATCTTTGTAACTTTTGACATCCGTAAAGTAAGAAAGATTATATGAGTTGCTTCACCACTTACCATCTTCTTGCTGTCTTTCTGTTGCTGCGGCTGGCTTGACTGCAGATTCTGCTGGTGGCTGTCGATATGCTGCTGCTGGCTTGACTGCGGATGCTATTTGTGGCTGTCGATCTGCTGGCTGTCTAACTGACGCTTTTGGTGGTTGTCTAGATGCTGCTGCTGGTTGACCCCTTTTATGACTAGCCTGTTCAGGTTTCTCAGATTCATTATCTGCAATGATGAAATTAAAAAATAATGCCAAAGTAGTAATATGTATCAACATATTGTCACAAATTTACAAAGTAAGTACCTTTGCTTTGCTTCTGTGTTGCCAACGCATTGAGCAGCCTCTTCCCTTGACTAGCTCTATTATTCATGTTGAGCGTGAACTGTAACAAAATATTTCACCAGTGTAACACGTAGCACTTGTCACTAAGACTTAATACACATTTACGAACCAAGAGCTGTGAATAAGTTAAAAAATACGAGACTAATGACACTGGGAGGTTATAAAACAACAAAGACATTGTGTTCACGTATATTAAGGACTCCCTCATTGAACGATTAGGAGGAAAATATGACAACCACAGTGTACTGATAAAACTGAAAGCTATTCGAAATAATAAATAATTACCCCATGCGAAGTAAAGGTTGAAACTAAACGCCCATACAGGCGCACCGCACAGCTCCACTCAATGGTCGTCGTCGTCGTCGTTGGCCTTGCTCGACAAGTTCGGCTCGGGCGGGACGGCTCGGCAGTCAGTCGGCCTCGCTACCCCCTCCTCTCCCGCCAGCGCGCGCGAGATCAAACTTTGTTCCCCGGGAATGAAGACGCGACTTGGAGATCGGACTTTGTTCCCCGGGAATGAAGGCGCGGCTGGGAGATCGGACGTTTGGTTTTTAGAGGAAAACAAGGATTTCTGTTTAAGATACCAATTTCTTCCCCAAGACCAAAAAGAAAGAGCATGTTTTAATCTACAAAGTAGCATAGATAACACTGTTAAAGTCTTACGAAGAAAAATGCCAAATCCTTTGTAATACGAAGGATTTGGAAGCTTCGTAGGGAGCAAATCCTTCGTAGGTACGAAGCATTTGGCATTTTGCTTCGTAAGACTTTAACTGTGAACTCAATTCACCCCAAAATGCGAGTTCGAACTTTGTGTAACCGTGCCGCTGCACATCGGACTTTGTGTAACCGTCCGCTGCAGATCGAACTTTGTGTAACCCTGCCGCTGCAGATCGAACTTTGTGTAACCGTGCCGCTGGAGATCGAACTTTGTGTAACCGTGCCGTTGAAGATCGAACTTTGTCGTTAGGAGGCATCGAACAACTCACTGAGCTCGCAATAGTTTCACTGGTTAGGTGGCAAGAATAAATAGAGAAAGGTCCAATTTGAAAACTTTCACACTTTCTAGATTTTGATTTTCAAAAATAAATAATTTGACTTCTCTCTATTTTACCAGATACAAGCAAATCCCTGTGTCGATTTGTAGCCCTCGTGATACTGATTCTAAAAAGCTATTCTCAGATTTGTAAGTCAATTTTTTGGAGAAATTATGCGCACAATCCTTTTCACTAAAGAACTCAAATATCAGTTATCACATGCCTTTTCTACCATAAGGATTAGCCAGTCTGACTAATCGAATGTTAATTTATGTCAAATGACATACAGGCAAACTATAGTGGCAAAGATATGGTTCAGCTATCAAGGGTCTCAAAAGAATTTATTTCTGGAAAAGTGCTCAAAACCTCTTTTTTGCCAACTGACCCCCTTAAATTTCACAAACCTTGGAGCGCCTTCTTCTCTTCTATTTGCGTTTAGGTTGATCCTCTGATCGCGGAGAGTTTTCTGGATTTTGCTCCTCTGTATAAAGGGGCTGACTGTCATCAGCGTCAGAATCCTTTGAGCCTTCACCATCTTTGTGTTTGCTACCCACTTCATTATCTCTACTGTTAAAATCATCAGAATCACCAGAGTGTGAAGAAGCAGCTTTAGTAGGGGTGGGAGTCGGCTGCAATTAAATAAAGTTTAAGAACAAGGAACCCCTAAAAAGAATCAATCATAATCTGATCTATGTGTATAACAGAACATTTCAACAGCAGAGAGCCACTACAAAATACCACTTACTGATCGGCGCTTCCGAAGGGTCCTAGTTGATGAAGAACCAAAATTGAATAGTTTTGGTGCCACTTGCTTTTTCGAAGTTAGTTCAGGCGGCTTTTGTTTCATGAAGGCCGGTGTTCCTATCTTAAGCCCTGTTAAACAAGGTAGATGTACGCCAGACCACGTCTCGCGTAACAGGCTTCGCGATATCTCACGAAACACTGTTACGCTGCGACGCGCCTGGCATACA